AAACTTATAACATGCATAAGGGTGTAGTCTTTGTGCACCAGGGAAACTTCTTTATGACTACGAATTATTGGATTCTCATTTCGGACATCTCTTTTGATAGATATGACGAACAAGTACATCTTTTGAAACGACACATTCAACTCTTAATTACTTTAATACAACGACAACTACGGAATCCCGAGCAAGAAAACCTTTTTGCGCCGCGATGGACTCTATCTGCAAATGAACTCACCCTCTTAAAGGATACGCTGGAAGAATATCAATCTGAATATACTGAACTAAAAACCCTAGTCACACTCAACAACTCCACGAGAGGAAAACGCGGCTTGATAGATGCCGGAGGTAAAGTTTTAAAATACTTATTTGGAACCGCCACTTCGGAAGATATCACAATTCTCAATGAAAAAATATCTCAATTATCGGAGACAAATGAAGAATTTATTCACCTTCTTCGGTCGCAGGCAACTTTACTTAACGATACACTCCGAATTGCAAAGACAAACCGACAGCATATTTATTCCTTAATAAGAAAACAAACGCTTATAGAAGAAACATTAGTACAACAACAATATCATTTAGCGTTTGAGTCAGCAGTTCGTGCTGTAGAATTCTCTATCCGAGAATTCCGAACCACAGTACTTGAAATCAGAAACGCAATCGAGACCTTGGAACAAGGTCGACTTAGCACCTATTTCCTGCCGAAAGAGGTATTATTAAACACTCTCAAAGAAATACAACTTCATTTACCCGAAGGATATTCTTTCTTAGAACCTCCACGATTGGAAACTATGTTCAAATATTATCAGTGGACATCCATTACCGCCCTAGCGCTCCCAAAATTACTTCGCATTTTTGCAAAAATACCTCTTATCACTCCTACGGGATACTTCGACATATATGAGATTATACGACTACCTGTGTATTATCCAACTATAAAATCATTCGTTTATTATAACAATTCATATCCTATCATTGCCTTATCGAGGAACCGACAATCATATATATTATTGACCTATTTCGATTTAACAAAATGTCAAACCACTCCTATTGCCATATGTTCGCCCAATGTTCCTATTTGGCAATCACCAAGACAAAGCTGCGAATACTCTTTATATCTCGGAAACGAACAATCAATCAATCAATTATGTCCCCGACGACTAATCATGTCTTACTCACCTATCTTCCGACGAATTGATAACCATGGAACATGGACCTATTCCATCCCTACTCCAATGAGTCTGACTATTAAATGTCCATCTTCTAGCCAAAAGGAAACTCCTGTCATAATCACCAAGATAAACAATACGGGTATTTTAAAACTTCCTGAACTGTGTGTGGGATATCTCCCTGGGATTATTCTAACAGCCCACTTTCAACGAAAAACAACGATTCAACTTGAGAATGTGCGACATTTCATCATCCCTTCTATTCCAAACATCCTCAACGAAACAGAATTAACCCTTATCCAAACTCATCTGAAACAACATTTAAATCCAACAAAACCCTCAGGAAAGTCAACTGATGCTGATATATTAAGAGCCGACACATCATTAAATAAAATGGAACTGGATCTAGAACAACTTCTTTCCACTAATCAGAACCATATCCATCCTTCTACCTTCCCACCTTCCAACACCATCATCATCGTAGCATCCGTTATCCTTAGTGTAGGACTGGGAAGTCTCCTCTTCATCATTTACAAATACCGCCGAACTCCCCGGCCTCGACCGCGTCGCCTCCGCCCAACAATAGAGTTAGTTCCACGGGAACCCACTAATGGGTCCTCTACCCCTCCACCTTCGGGTACCCGTACACCCATCCTAATGTAACCCGGCTACAAGCTAACAATCCAACCTCATATCTACTTTGGGTATATATTTCTTTAGTTATCCCTTTTTATATAACGCTTTTCTAATTCATATCCATTTAGTGCATATCCTTCCTTTATTCTTTACAGACATCTCCTTGTGGATAAATAAGATGGATCCCACCTTGGCAAACTTACTGATGTGTCCAATCTGTTATAGTCAAGCTCAAACACCCGTCTACCAATGCACAAACGGGCATATAGTATGTTCCGACTGTAGATCACGCATAACAAATTGCCATACGTGCAGAGAACCTTTAGGTCACATACGCAGTTTAATCGTTGAACAAATTCTCCGCACTATGCAAGCTCCCTGTTCTTTTCTTCCCTTCGGATGTCCCGAAGTACTCCGTGAGGCAGATCGTCAACCGCATGAAGAAATATGTCTCTTCCGACCTATTCCTTGTCCTTTCCACACATCTCCCTGTACCTGGGAAGGGGCCCGATCACATCTTCCTAACCATCTTTTAACGGTACATCCACAAATACCTAAACTCACCCAAAATACAATCTTCTTTGGTGGAGTAGACACTCAGATAACTGGCGGTACCTGGGCCGCTATGTTAGAATGCTATTCCCAAATATTTCTAGTCAAGGTTTCCAAAACAACCTCGAATACACCTTCTTTCATTATAAAAATCTACCTCCTAACCAAACCCACGACTGACACAAAATATATTTATAATATCAAATTCAAGAGAGGGGATCATGCCTTTCGTTGGACCTCTCTAGTCCACGAAATCTACGGAGAATCTACTCCTCCTTCTCCTGTCTCTATACCATCCCTCGAACTCCCCTCTGACATCATTCACTTTTTTGGCTCCCATCACAACTTTAAATTTATTCTTAATCTTTCACCTCTTCCAGATGGCGGAAGACACTGAATGGTGGAATTCACCCTCACCCACTCCATCCCAATCCCTTCCCTCGGAAGCCAACACCTCTCTCGAAGTTGACCCCGGAGCGCTTCGAACAGCCATACAATTCGCCCGGTTATTACAACATCGGCCACAAGCTCTTCCTATCACGCTTATTTTACCAATCAACTATACCTGCCCTGCCCACATGCAACCAGCCTTTCACAATATCAATCGTCATTTATCTCAATCTGATACCATTGAGGTAATTCCTCATGCTTCTCGACTACCGATAGTTCCTTCTTCGCCATCAGTTCCATCCACTCAATCCCCTTTTCACTCAAATCACCCATCTAATTCTCAATCTTAGGCGTTATCCTTCTGTGGCTTAACCACACCATTATGTTATTCAATTTTGTAGCTTATTATTATCCTTGTTTAAGATTGTTAAAGATCAATATTAATTTACATCAATATGTATCTTTGTATACCACTTTATCAAATAAACATTTATATTTACTCCTCTACCTTTGACATCGTTGTGGTTTATTTAACCGCGGAAGCAAACAACACAGAGAGAGAGAGTAAATAAACTAACTGTAAATTAACCGAATCGTAAATAAATCGCCACATGTGCTTATATGTAATCAATTTTAAATGCTTATCTTATTTATATTTTATGTAACCTTATACTATGTAACATTATCTCTGAAAGAAAGAGAGAGAGTATTTCTCCATATTGTAACGAAAAAAAAATCGTTCTTGCTCACTCAGAACAAGCACGATTTTGGAAAGGCCGGGATGATGTGAGATTCAGCCGTGTTTATTAATCTACCGCCTGACCTAACTTGTGAACAATAGTANGCGTATGAACATGAATGAGATATATCAAACCCACATAGATGATCATGATATTGTGAGATTCAGCCGTGTTTATTAATCTACCGCCTGACCTAACTTGTGAACAATAGTAAGTTTATATAGAAAGTATCAAATTTCACACCTGGGAGTTAATTACTCAGCCAGTTCTCAGTCGCAAAAAGACGCTTTCACATAACCTTCTGACCTATTATTGCAAAACTGTCAAATGAAAATAGCGACAATCGGGGGTTTTCGACACAGTCGCTGCCGTTCCTCTAAAAGAAGCATCCACCAGACCCGTTCAATACCTCCTATTTGGATTATTCCGTAACAACGAACTTAAGTGCCTATTTGGATTATACCGTAACAACGAACTTAAGTGCCTATTTGGATTATACCGTAACAACGAACTTAAGTGCCTATTTGGATACGTAACCCAGAACTTGGAAGTGACATCGTCCACAGCGGTTGGAAAACCTCGATCCATAAGATAACCTGTCAGGTATTTATCGCCACGCGAATCGTATGTAAACTCTCTCTCTCCGCGACCACACTTTATTCCATTTAAATTTTTAATAAACCCTTTGTTGATTGTTAAGGGTAGTTCGAGTCTCTTCCCTATGTTAACTCTGACCTGTCGAATCCGACTGTTCGCGTACGGGACCGCTCGCGCGACGGACGACGAAATCGCCGTCTCGGCTGTGTTCCTCTAAACACGGTGGTGTCAATCCTGACCGGGCACCAAAGAGGTGCCGACCCTTCGGTCACAATATTCATAGCATAAATCGACGATTTTCCAGTAAAAATGATCATATTCCTAACTGACAGACCTCTCCCAATGGACTTTTTTGCTGCCCAAAATCCTATTTTTTTGTTTACATGTAATTTATATATTGATCATTCATGATCACGCTAGTGTCATTTGTTTCATCCTCATTTGGAATATTTTCTTTTTATTCACTTTTTTAACTTGGTTTGCTTAACTTTTAGACGCGAGCCTATTTTTGTATCAGTCCATTTAAATTCTCCACACATAAACATTGACTCATTACGCATTCGTATAAATTATTAGCATCTAAATATATTAAATAATTTGATTGTACTGTTACGTCCTAATCTTTCATATATTTATTATTTGCTTTGGAGTATATTTTATGTTGCAAGATTTCATCTCTGATTCCGCTCCTGATCACATCGTTATCGCTTAATAGTAAACTAACTTCTGTTTTCAACATGGCATACCATGCTAATCCTACTGTTGGTTCCAGATTATAGTACCAGTTTTATATGTTTTAATGCAAACGTTTATGAAATTCTAGAATATATCAGACCGTCTCTTCTCACACACAAATCTGAATATTTTCCCAAATATGTAATATTTAATTTTTCCACACTATTTCAACATCATCGTCTGTTATATTAGTTTGAATAAATTCACTATAACATGCCTGTTTTTGTGGTAATTGTGCTTCGTGACAATTTCATGCGTTGTCCACATAGATTAATAATGTCTGTCTTACAGTTAGACAATGGTGATTGTTGAAGACCGGTTAAAATGGCAAACATTAATGTGGCATCATGTCAACACGATTTGATTGCTGGGTTTTTCTCTATTAAATATTGTATGTTAAACATTGTGGACTTAATTATCTAAATTTTGTTCGTACTTTTATGTCAATGTGTTTTCTTGCAAAGCGAAAATGTACATTCCAGAATATACATAAACATTTTTTAATGTTAAATGAAAAATTTTTTACTTTATTTTTGCAATGAGTATAAAAATTATAAAGAATTACAAAGCACTTTCAAGAACAATGAATATTGATCTTTCAAGGCCTCCATGAGTAAACTCGAATAAGCCTACTGTTCAAATCCAAGTATTCTCGTTTACAATGTACAGTATTATATGTTTCAACTGATAGATGGCATCGATTTTGCTAGAATTTTAAAAAATGTGGTGATACACTAATACCACGCATACAATTGAAGATGTCGAACAGCTACTATTAATTTGAATGAATCAAAAACAGTTAGATAGCAATTTTGTCTCGGAGGCCATCATATTAGTCTTTTATAATTATTTCTTATTGTTGTTGCTATTAAACACTATACTCATTCTCTATGAAATGTGTTTTTGATATTGTATTTTGGAGTGAATAGAACGAATTAATTAGATTTACATTGATTTATATGGAAATAATTGCCTCGGTTATGTCGGTTTCGGATTTCGCCGATTTTTTTCGGACGGATTATCGACGAAAATCGATGTATTACTTTATCTAATTGAACAGTTTTTCGAGCATGTATTATAATCTTCAAATTGTTATTTTGTGCATGCTCAGTCAAAATAAACTGTTTTAAATAAAAGCTTGAGGTGAGAGTTCATTCAAAAAAGTAATTTGAAAGAAGAAAATGTTAGTGATAAAAAAATTATATTTTTTATACTTATATGGGTTACACAAGTAATGCCTTTTAGTGAAGAAATTCAAGAATATTTTCACCTAACAGACAAAATTTTGGTGCCATTCTGTAGAAAAAGAATTACACGTTGTAACCTATAATAAGTATAGTAAGTATAGTATTATAGTTTAAGAAAATAATCTATATTTATATAAGATTATATATTTTTTATAAGAATTTTATTTAGTTTATTCTTATCCTAAATATTCCTTCCAATAGATAACCTTACGTACAAATCAGCAAATCGAATTTACTTCAAAAACTGATTGATTTACAGAAATTCAATGGATATTTTGGAGTTAGATTTCCGACATTATCTAATTCGGAAGAGTATGAACAGAACTGCCGAGTTTCGTAACAATTGATCGAACTGCTTAGAAGTTTTTAGCGAACGAACAGACAAACATACAAATTTTCTCATCTATATATGTGTGTATATATATATTTGTGAGAACTCGAGCTAATGCAAATTACATAATTAGCATAAATTCCATTTAACGATTTTTATTTCATCATAAACAATAAAAGACAAACGTTCCATGTCATGGGTACAGTTAAAGGAACTTCATAATCTTTTCCCACGGACATTACTTTTTTCGTGAGTGACACAGATTCCAAAAACCTACTCATCGAGCGAAACTGAGGCAAAATCGCATAGTGGAGCAACTATCACCGTTACCCGACGTGGGCATTAGAGTAGCAAAGGAATGAACCGAAATGAATCACGACGAAAAGTTCGTCTGTCCGAATTTGTTATTGCTTATTCAGCGGATCTTCTCCAGTTCCCGGAATTTCCACAGGATTTTACATGCTCTCAATTAACTAAAGAACAATTGATCGAATTTCATTGTGAATATTACTTTTAAAAACTTTTAGATTCAAGATGCAGCATAACAACTCTAATTTTTTTTATTCAGGATGTGTTAGTGTTCATCGACCATCTTCGCTCTGTATTTACCGACAAACATCTGAAGTTGAAAATGCTGTATCTCTGTTCCACGCGCTTGTAGAATAGACTTTTCCATTTATGTCACACTCTTATTAATTGTTACCAAATAAATCGTTGTTACCGCACTGGAGTGTGTTATTTCCGGCGCGCTGTCTCACGAGTCCATTTTTCATTTCTGAACATGACCGATCTCGTACGCGACCGTTTGCACGAGATTGACATACAGCCAATAATTATAGTAGTGTCACTCCTGATTGGCATTGCCGACGGATAGATATGAATATAAATGAAAGTAAAGTAAATTAAAATACGACACTACCGAATGGAATACAGCTTTAGAGTTCATTTTGAACCAGACTTGAAATCAAACAGAACAATCTTCCCAGAACATTACATAAACTTTCTTACAGTTCTACCGTCGCTTTACACTTACACCAGAATAACATCGACAAACAACGTATTATATAAAAAGCAACTGCTTCTAAATACTTTTAAATTAATTAAACTTGCAAGAAAAAATCTTTTATTAGTAACTTGCAAAAAATACTACCGACCATTTAAATACAATTTCTTCTTCTTCGTGTGCCATATCAAGTCACTTCGATGTCGGCGTACACACACCCGGCGCTTGTTAGTACAAATTAGTTTGCGCGCAAAGTAATGTCCTGGGGAAGTTGGTACCGCAGTGGTTCCCCCATTGAATTCTCTAAGTACGTTATCTTACGCGGAGAAGAAATGCTTACCAGAAGGTCTTTTAAGATTAAATTTGATTTCACACGTGACCCAAAATATGACATTTCCTTTTCCTTTCAACCACCAAAATTTAATAGCATCAATGTCTCTAACAGCAAAACTCACTGCGAAATTCAGAAATTATCGACAAAAGGAAATACAGTTATAAGATTCGAATATGGCGAAGAAAATCGTGACACCCCACACACACTAACATTATATATACAGAACAAACACCCAAACAAATCATTTCCGTTATAGACAAGTTTGTATGTCGTTCTCTTTTCAATTATTTTTAGGTTCAGAGACACGCACAATTAAGCATGCTCAATATTATCAAAATATAACAATTTTGTCCTCAAAATTTCGACTTTCAATTAAACAACTAAATTTATTAATAATTAAATTAAAATAAGCACAATTATAATGGTAAGTGAAATCTTTCATTCCGTCCGTATAATACATTTTTAATTTCCCAAACTGTTTTATTAAAAAATTCAAGAAATAACACGAAATTTTAATTTTAATTTTATATCGAAGATCGAATGCATATTATGAAAATTTTAACAGAATATTATAATGTATAACAATAATTTATATTATCGTGAATAGTTTTTATTTAAGTTTTTCAGTAATTATTAATTTTTGTTCAACGAATTATTTTAAAAGGATAGNGCATGTAACGGTTTAGTTGAAAGATTTAACAAAACTCTCATCGATATTATATCGCACTATGTTGCCAAGGATCAAAGAGATTGGGATGAATGGATCCCCAATGCATTATTTGCATATAATACCACAGTGCATGCCTCCACAAACGACAGCCCATTTTTCTTATTATATGGAAGAGATCCTACTTATCCCTTTGACCTTGTTACTCATCCTACACGAACTAGGTACGATGTCGAAGAAAACTTTGCCTCGGAGCTACGCCTTCGAATGGCTAATGCCCATCAACTAGCACACCAACACGCAGAACAAGCTGCTAAAGAACGCCAACAACAACACCGTCGCACTTATAAATCATCCACCTATCAGGTGGGTGACCGAGTTTTCCTTAATGAGGTCAGTTTATCTCCAGGTTTAAAGAGAAAATTGGCACCAAGGTGGTCCGGTCCTTTTCGAATTATAACTGCACTGAGTCCAGTCACTTTTATAATTAAAAATATCAAAACGAAAAAAACCCTCCAAGTACATGCCAATCGATTAAAACACGCCTTTGCCCAACAAGAACTTGAAGAAACAGATAATTCAAATAATTCAGAGCTACAACCAATTCCCAAACAAAAAACCGTACCACAGTCTACCTCAATCCCCATCGATCCCTGGGATGAAATTATTCTTACAGAAATACAACAACAAGCAGAATTTGAACAAGGAGTAGAGGAAGAATCAACGGCAGAAGAAGAATCCATAGAATTAGCAACTGAACCCAAAGTAACTCCCCCACCTCCTTATGCATTGAGAAGTCAGGGACCGGTGGAGGAACGACCTTGGATCCTTCCCACTCCTCGACGAAGTCGAATTCCTAAACGGAAGGCCAGCCTGCCTACCGAGGGAAATAATACTCAACCAAAATTAACTAAACGAGGGACACAACTCTAGGCAAAAAGAAAAAAAACAAAAACAAAAAAAAAACAGAAGGAGAGAGAGAACTTTAACTATAATCATAAAATTCCCGTAATATCTAATTTTAATATAATAATCTAGACGATTTGCTTACATGACTTCCCATCTAATTCCTCCTCCTTCCTTTATTCAGAGTTCTACATCTGATCAACCATGATCATACGACTCTTCCTCCTTCTCTCAACAATTTATGCTTTTCAAGAAGAAGAACCGGGAAAAAAAACTTATAACATGCATAAGGGTGTAGTCTTTGTGCACCAGGGAAACTTCTTTATGACTACGAATTATTGGATTCTCATTTCGGACATCTCTTTTGATAGATATGACGAACAAGTACATCTTTTGAAACGACACATTCAACTCTTAATTACTTTAATACAACGACAACTACGGAATCCCGAGCAAGAAAACCTTTTTGCGCCGCGATGGACTCTATCTGCAAATGAACTCACCCTCTTAAAGGATACGCTGGAAGAATATCAATCTGAATATACTGAACTAAAAACCCTAGTCACACTCAACAACTCCACGAGAGGAAAACGCGGCTTGATAGATGCCGGAGGTAAAGTTTTAAAATACTTATTTGGAACCGCCACTTCGGAAGATATCACAATTCTCAATGAAAAAATATCTCAATTATCGGAGACAAATGAAGAATTTATTCACCTTCTTCGGTCGCAGGCAACTTTACTTAACGATACACTCCGAATTGCAAAGACAAACCGACAGCATATTTATTCCTTAATAAGAAAACAAACGCTTATAGAAGAAACATTAGTACAACAACAATATCATTTAGCGTTTGAGTCAGCAGTTCGTGCTGTAGAATTCTCTATCCGAGAATTCCGAACCACAGTACTTGAAATCAGAAACGCAATCGAGACCTTGGAACAAGGTCGACTTAGCACCTATTTCCTGCCGAAAGAGGTATTATTAAACACTCTCAAAGAAATACAACTTCATTTACCCGAAGGATATTCTTTCTTAGAACCTCCACGATTGGAAACTATGTTCAAATATTATCAGTGGACATCCATTACCGCCCTAGCGCTCCCAAAATTACTTCGCATTTTTGCAAAAATACCTCTTATCACTCCTACGGGATACTTCGACATATATGAGATTATACGACTACCTGTGTATTATCCAACTATAAAATCATTCGTTTATTATAACAATTCATATCCTATCATTGCCTTATCGAGGAACCGACAATCATATATATTATTGACCTATTTCGATTTAACAAAATGTCAAACCACTCCTATTGCCATATGTTCGCCCAATGTTCCTATTTGGCAATCACCAAGACAAAGCTGCGAATACTCTTTATATCTCGGAAACGAACAATCAATCAATCACTTATGTCCCCGACGACTAATCATGTCTTACTCACCTATCTTCCGACGAATTGATAACCATGGAACATGGACCTATTCTATCCCTACTCCAATGAGTTTGACTATTAAATGTCCATCTTCTAGCCAAAAGGAAACTCCCGTCATAATCACCAAGATAAACAATACGGGTATTTTAAAACTTCCTGAACTGTGTGTGGGATATCTCCCTGGGATTATTCTAACAGCCCACTTTCAACGAAAAACAACGATTCAACTTGAGAATGTGCGGCATTTCATCATCCCTTCTATTCAAAACATCCTCAACGAAACAGAATTAACCCTTATCCAAACTCATCTGAAGCAACATTTAAATCCAACAAAACCCTCGGGAAAGTCAACTGATGCTGATATATTAAGAGCCGACACATCCTTAAATAAAATGGAACTGGATCTAGAACAACTTCTTTCCACCAATCCGAACCATATCCATCCTTCTACCTTCCCACCTTCCAACACCATCATCATCGTAGCATCCGTTATCCTTAGTGTAGGACTGGGAAGTCTCCTCTTCATCATTTACAAATACCGCCGAACTCCCCGGCCTCGACCGCGTCGCCTCCGCCCAACAATAGAGTTAGTTCCACGGGAACCCACTAATGGGTCCTCTACCCCTCCACCTTCGGGTACCCGTACACCCATCCTAATGTAACCAGGCTACAAGCTAACAATCCAACCTCATATCTACTTTGGGTATATATTTCTTTAGTTATCCCTTTTTATATAACGCTTGTCTAATTCATATCCATTTAGTGCATATCCTTCCTTTATTCTTTACAGACACCTCCTTGTGGATAAATAAGATGGATCCCACCTTGGCAAACTTACTGATGTGTCCAATCTGTTATAGTCAAGCTCAAACACCCGTCTACCAATGCACAAACGGGCATATAGTATGTTCCGACTGTAGATCACGCATAACAAATTGCCATACGTGCAGAGAACCTTTAGGTCACATACGCAGTTTAATCGTTGAACAAATTCTCCGCACTATGCAAGCTCCCTGTTCTTTTCTTCCCTTCGGATGTCCCGAAGTACTCCGTGAGGCAGATCGTCAACCGCATGAAGAAATATGTCTCTTCCGACCTATTCCTTGTCCTTTCCACACATCTCCCTGTACCTGGGAAGGGGCCCGATCACATCTTCCTAACCATCTTTTAACGGTACATCCACAAATACCTAAACTCACCCAAAATACAATCTTCTTTGGTGGAGTAGACACTCAGATAACTGGCGGTACCTGGGCCGCTATGTTAGAATGCTATTCCCAAATATTTCTAGTCAAGGTTTCCAAAACAACCTCGAATACACCTTCTTTCATTATAAAAATCTACCTCCTAACCAAACCCACGACTGACACAAAATATATTTATAATATCAAATTCAAGAGAGGGGATCATGCCTTTCGTTGGACCTCTCTAGTCCACGAAATCTACGGAGAATCTACTCCTCCTTCTCCTGTCTCTATACCATCCCTCGAACTCCCCTCTGACATCATTCACTTTTTTGGCTCCCATCACAACTTTAAATTTATTCTTAATCTTTCACCTCTTCCAGATGGCGGAAGACACTGAATGGTGGAATTCACCCTCACCCACTCCATCCCAATCCCTTCCCTCGGAAGCCAACACCTCTCTCGAAGTTGACCCCGGAGCGCTTCGAACAGCCATACAATTCGCCCGGTTATTACAACATCGGCCACAAGCTCTTCCTATCACGCTTATTTTACCAATCAACTATACCTGCCCTGCCCACATGCAACCAGCCTTTCACAATATCAATCGTCATTTATCTCAATCTGATACCATTGAGGTAATTCCTCATGCTTCTCGACTACCGATAGTTCCTTCTTCGCCATCAGTTCCATCCACTCAATCCCCTTTTCACTCAAATCACCCATCTAATTCTCAATCTTAGGCGTTATCCTTCTGTGGCTTAACCACACCATTATGTTATTCAATTTTGTAGCTTATTATTATCCTTGTTTAAGATTGTTAAAGATCAATATTAATTTACATCAATATGTATCTTTGTATACCACTTTATCAAATAAACATTTATATTTACTCCTCTACCTTTGACATTGTTGTGGTTTTTATTTAACCGCGGAAGCAAACAACACAGAGAGAGAGAGTAAATAAACTAACTGTAAATTAACCGGATCGTAAATAAATCACCACATGTGCTTATATGTAATCAATTTTAAATACTTATCTTATTTATATTTTATGTAACCTTTTTATACTATGTAACATTATCTCTGAAAGAAAGAGAGAAAGTATTTCTCCATATTGTAACGAAAAAAAAATCGTTCTTGCTCACTCAGAACAAGCACGATTTTGGAAAGGCCGGGATGATGTGAGATTCAGCCGTGTTTATTAACCTACCGCCTGACCTAACTCGTGAACAATAATAAGTTTATCTAGAAAGTATCAAATTTCACACCTGGGAGTTAATTACTCAGCCAGTTCTCAGTCGCGAAAAGACGCTTTCACATAACCTTCTGACCTATTATTGCTAAACTGTCAAATGAAAATAGCGACAATCGGAGGTTTTCGACACAGTCGCTGCCGTTCCTCTAAAAGAAGCATCCACCAGACCCGTTCAATACCTCCTATTTGGATTATTCCGTAACAACGAACTTAAGTGCCTATTTGGATTATACCGTAACAACGAACTTAAGTGCCTATTTGGATATTTCCGTAACCCAGAACTTGGAAGTGACATCGTCAACAGCGGTTTGAAGACCTCGATCCATAAGATAACCTGTCAGGTATTTATCGCCACGCGAATCGTATGTAAACTCTCTCTCTCCGCGACCACACTTTATTCCATTTAAATTTTTAATAAACCCTTTGTTGATTGTTAAGGGTAGTTCGAGTCTCTTCCCTATGTTAACTCTGACCTGTCGAATCCGACTGTTCGCGTACGGGACCGCTCGCGCGACGGACGACGAAATCGCCGTCTCGGCTTCCGTGTTCCTCTAAACACGGTGGTGTCAATCCTGACCGGGCACCAAAGAGGTGCCGACCCTTCGGTCACAATATTCATAGCATAAATCGACGATTTTCCAGTAAAAATGATCATATTCCTAACTGACAGACCTCTCCCAATGGACTTTTTTGCTGCCCAAAATCCTATTTTTTTGTTTACATGTAATTTATATATTGATCATTCATGATCACGCTAGTGTCATTTGTTTCATCCTCATTTGGAATATTTTCTTTTTATTCACTTTTTTAACTTGGTTTGCTTAACTTTTAGACGCGAGCCTATTTTTGTATCAGTCCATTTAAATTCTCCACACATAAACATTGACTCATTACGCATTCGTATAAATTATTAGCATCTAAATATATTAAATAATTTGATTGTACTGTTACGTCCTAATCTTTCATATATTTATTATTTGCTTTGGAGTATATTTTATGTTGCAAGATTTCATCTCTGATTCCGCTCCTGATCACATCGTTATCGCTTAATAGTAAACTAACTTCTGTTTTCAACATGGCATACCATGCTAATCCTACTGTTGGTTCCAGATTATAGTACCAGTTTTATATGTTTTAATGCAAACGTTTATGAAATTCTAGAATATATCAGACCGTCTCTTCTCACACACAAATCTGAATATTTTCCCAAATATGTAATATTTAATTTTTCCACACTATTTCAACATCATCGTCTGTTATATTAGTTTGAATAAATTCACTATAACATGCCTGTTTTTGTGGTAATTGTGCTTCGTGACAATTTCATGCGTTGTCCACATAGATTAATAATGTCTGTCTTACAGTTAGACAATGGTGATTGTTGAAGACCGGTTAAAATGGCAAACATTAATGTGGCATCATGTCAACACGATTTGATTGCTGGGTTTTTCTCTATTAAATATTGTATGTTAAACATTGTGGACTTAATTATCTAAATTTTGTTCGTACTTTTATGTCAATGTGTTTTCTTGCAAAGCGAAAATGTACATTCCAGAATATACATAAACATTTTTTAATGTTAAATGAAAAATTTTTTACTTTATTTTTGCAATGAGTATAAAAATTATAAAGAATTACAAAGCACTTTCAAGAACAATGAATATTGATCTTTCAAGGCCTCCATGAGTAAACTCGAATAAGCCTACTGTTCAAATCCAAGTATTCTCGTTTACAATGTACAGTATTATATGTTTCAACTGATAGATGGCATCGATTTTGCTAGAATTTTAAAAAATGTGGTGATACACTAATACCACGCATACAATTGAAGATGTCGAACAGCTACTATTAATTTGAATGAATCAAAAACAGTTAGATAGCAATTTTGTCTCGGAGGCCATCATATTAGTCTTTTATAATTATTTCTTATTGTTGTTGCTATTAAACACTATACTCATTCTCTATGAAATGTGTTTTTGATATTGTATTTTGGAGTGAATAGAACGAATTAATTAGATTTACATTGATTTATATGGAAATAATTGCCTCGGTTATGTCGGTTTCGGATTTCGCCGATTTTTTTCGGACGGATTATCGACGAAAATCGATGTATTACTTTATCTAATTGAACAGTTTTTCGAGCATGTATTATAATCTTCAAATTGTTATTTTGTGCATGCTCAGTCAAAATAAACTGTTTTAAATAAAAGCTTGAGGTGAGAGTTCATTCAAAAAAGTAATTTGAAAGAAGAAAATGTTAGTGATAAAAAAATTATATTTTTTATACTTATATGGGTTACACAAGTAATGCCTTTTAGTGAAGAAATTCAAGAATATTTTCACCTAACAGACAAAATTTTGGTGCCATTCTGTAGAAAAAGAATTACACGTTGTAACCTATAATAAGTATAGTAAGTATAGTATTATAGTTTAAGAAAATAATCTATATTTATATAAGATTATATATTTTTTATAAGAATTTTATTTAGTTTATTCTTATCCTAAATATTCCTTCCAATAGATAACCTTACGTACAAATCAGCAAATCGAATTTACTTCAAAAACTGATTGATTTACAGAAATTCAATGGATATTTTGGAGTTAGATTTCCGACATTATCTAATTCGGAAGAGTATGAACAGAACTGCCGAGTTTCGTAACAATTGATCGAACTGCTTAGAAGTTTTTAGCGAACGAACAGACAAACATACAAATTTTCTCATCTATATATGTGTGTATATATATATTTGTGAGAACTCGAGCTAATGCAAATTACATAATTAGCATAAATTCCATTTAACGATTTTTATTTCATCATAAACAATAAAAGACAAACGTTCCATGTCATGGGTACAGTTAAAGGAACTTCATAATCTTTTCCCACGGACATTACTTTTTTCGTGAGTGACACAGATTCCAAAAACCTACTCATCGAGCGAAACTGAGGCAAAATCGCATAGTGGAGCAACTATCACCGTTACCCGACGTGGGCATTAGAGTAGCAAAGGAATGAACCGAAATGAATCACGACGAAAAGTTCGTCTGTCCGAATTTGTTATTGCTTATTCAGCGGATCTTCTCCAGTTCCCGGAATTTCCACAGGATTTTACATGCTCTCAATTAACTAAAGAACAATTGATCGAATTTCATTGTGAATATTACTTTTAAAAACTTTTAGATTCAAGATGCAGCATAACAACTCTAATTTTTTTTATTCAGGATGTGTTAGTGTTCATCGACCATCTTCGCTCTGTATTTACCGACAAACATCTGAAGTTGAAAATGCTGTATCTCTGTTCCACGCGCTTGTAGAATAGACTTTTCCATTTATGTCACACTCTTATTAATTGTTACCAAATAAATCGTTGTTACCGCACTGGAGTGTGTTATTTCCGGCGCGCTGTCTCACGAGTCCATTTTTCATTTCTGAACATGACCGATCTCGTACGCGACCGTTTGCACGAGATTGACATACAGCCAATAATTATAGTAGTGTCACTCCTGATTGGCATTGCCGACGGATAGATATGAATATAAATGAAAGTAAAGTAAATTAAAATACGACACTACCGAATGGAATACAGCTTTAGAGTTCATTTTGAACCAGACTTGAAATCAAACAGAACAATCTTCCCAGAACATTACATAAACTTTCTTACAGTTCTACCGTCGCTTTACACTTACACCAGAATAACATCGACAAACAACGTATTATATAAAAAGCAACTGCTTCTAAATACTTTTAAATTAATTAAACTTGCAAGAAAAAATCTTTTATTAGTAACTTGCAAAAAATACTACCGACCATTTAAATACAATTTCTTCTTCTTCGTGTGCCATATCAAGTCACTTCGATGTCGGCGTACACACACCCGGCGCTTGTTAGTACAAATTAGTTTGCGCGCAAAGTAATGTCCTGGGGAAGTTGGTACCGCAGTGGTTCCCCCATTGAATTCTCTAAGTACGTTATCTTACGCGGAGAAGAAATGCTTACCAGAAGGTCTTTTAAGATTAAATTTGATTTCACACGTGACCCAAAATATGACATTTCCTTTTCCTTTCAACCACCAAAATTTAATAGCATCAATGTCTCTAACAGCAAAACTCACTGCGAAATTCAGAAATTATCGACAAAAGGAAAT